TGACTGACTGACTGACTGACTGACTGACTGACTGACTGACTGACTGATTGACTGAGTGACTGACTGACTGTTCGCAGCATATATCAGTAGCTGATAGCGCACAAAATGGACTTCCAGACATGGTAAAAAGAGGAGCCAATATTTATTGCAGTTCAGTTACGTTTTATCACTTCTATCGGCATTTCTTCTACTGTCATTAGGTTGGCAGTTATAATACAATGTTATGCGTTAACACTAAGCACGTGAGTGAACTAAGCGAATACAGGCAGAAAGCAGTAGAACTACACAAGTTTCTGCGATTTGGGTAGTATTTTGTTTGATTGATATAAATATAGGTATACGGCAATGCAGGCCATGTAACGACGTTGAAGCATTTTAACTAGTCGTAAAATTATGCTTTAGGCTTAGTTGTCTAGCAGCTGTATTTTGGATCGTAATATTTAGCGTTTTGAACTATGAAGATATACAAGTACCTAGAATAATAAAGGTTTCAGTTGTATTCTAAAACTTATTTGTATTAATTATTATTGATTCATTGTTCATTTTGCATCAGTTTCAGTTTTTCAGGCAAATCATCGAAAGCGATCCACACCTTTTATTTTTCCCTACGACCTTGGGTGGAAGAAGAACTTTCATGAAGTCTTCAACTCGACGGGTAGACCGCGTGGTAATGGTATCATCTGGCCTGTGCGGAGCGGATGCAATCAGTATACGTTTACGGTATGTCATAGAACTAACATGTGCTTTCAGGTGTCGATGGACAGGGGTACAGTTATGTTGATAATTAATTGATGTTCGTTTATTCAATCGTTCATCCTCATCCAGCTCCGTATTCCTTTTGGGCTACAGGTCAGAAGAAGTTTCGGATTGTCCTGGTCCTTGACCAGCATGGCTTGTTGTACATGCTTGAATCTGAGGTCTGCAATGGCCGGTGTGAATTTGCCATGTGGCCAAAATGACGATGTGGACAAACGGACCAGCGTTCGTAACTGTTTAGAAATGTCACACAAGGAATTGCTTGTATGTTCTAGTCGTTGAACACGCATAATGCAACAATATGAAACAACTTGTTTTCTCTTGTGAGAGAAATTTAGCAACAGCAAAGATAGCGACACTGCTGTGCTTTTATTCAGTATCACTGTAACAGATCAACTGAAATTATTCCATGAGCTGAACTGTCGGCATGTACGTCATGGAGAACAGACAGAGACAATGCTGAGGAGTTTCACAGCGTGCGGCAGGACATAGTCAAAATGGCTGCTACAGTGGGCGAGGATTGAAGGTCTGTTATAAACTAAAAGACTGTGGTTAATCTGCAGTGGAAACCATGGATGATAGATCTTTGTGTGCTTCCAGTGCAGATTCGCTCTGTCTCAAATCCAAAGAGAAAGAGTTTCTAACTCATATTTCTGTTATTCTTAAAATAGGAATAATCAGATCTGTTAAAATGAATTTGAGGAAAAAATAAGTATTTATGTCAGTAGACGGGAGTATAGGTACAGATAACACTGGACGAATGACATCTTGAAATGGAAAGAAATTGACAGAAGATTCACACACTGCATTAAGTGTCGTCGACGATCGATAAGCGAGATCGATAAATGATTCGTCATTGTACTTTGAGTTGGAAACCTAAAAGGTTGTCAGGAGTTTTAGTATCGATCGCTGAAGTCAGATGAATGCCTAATTTTTTAATGAAGATCTCGAAAAGCCCAAAACAAAAAACAATTATTTCGTCACAAGTTTCGCCGCTACGCTGATAAATACTCATACTTTTAGTCCTTTGGACATCTGGCCTGAGACATATGTTTTTACCCTTTATACTTCGTCGCATGTAGTTGTTGTACACAGTGCGTTTGTGTTTCAGGTAGAACAGATTGAGCAGAAGGAAGAGAAGCGGCGTAGTTCAATGTTATACGTGGCCCATCGCTCGTACAGTGGCTCCTTCTGTCCGTTGTCAATGGGATGTCGGACCTGTTGTTCAAGGCCACTGCTGTCTATCGACGGCACTCTGTCACTCATAGTTGGAAATGAAGTTCTGGTCTCGCGATGGAGGAAGTACTGGTATTACGGTGTGCTGATGGAAAATCAGGGTGATTACCTTCAACCAGTGCCCGCTTCAAGGGGTTGGTTTCCTGCAAAATGTGTCAAAGAAGTGCCTGCTGGCTACTTAGATTCTGGCGAAAAACATTCCGGCTCTGAGAAAAAACTTCTGTGACTTTATTCACGCAGTTTATGGCCTATTGCCGATACGCATTTTTCGATATTCGTTGTGGGCCTTATGTTTTAGGCATTGTTCTCCTCATGCCTTGCTTTTTTGTATAACGTTTTATCTTTGTTGATGTTGTTCTTGGAACACTTAGAAAATTCAATGATTCGTGCGGAATGCGTCTGCTTCTCGTTTCTTGTTGCAGAAGTGGCTGATAGCAAGAATTTGGTTATAAATTTTGTCCTTCGTGTGTGGTTATTTTCAGGAACGCTACATACACATTGTGCGTAATTGTTTCGCATACGTTACTTTGCTATTTATGCTTGGTGTTTTTTTTATTGCAGTGGATAAATGTCCTTATATTTAAAGATAGAGTCTAAGGTCATGTATGAAGCATACTGTGTAGTTTCCTGTTTCCTTCCTACAGATTGGTGCCCGTCATTTTTCAACCTTTGGAAGAAGAAGATTAAGTGACCCTAACTGGGACTTAAACTCCGGTCCTGTCGGCTCTGAGTTCAACGTTCTACCGCCTGAAAAACTTGGCTCTGAAACAGTGTTTGATAAATTTCTTATGGAAGAGATTTCTAGGATAAGGGAAAGATTATCCTCGGTCCGAGTTGATACCTGCACCTCCGGAGTTCGAAGCAGACTTCTTAGATAATGTTCCGCCACTGCACAACATTAGACCAGAGGTAACCCATTAAACTATGTGTTAAGAGCGAGGCTGTGGTAACTGAAGTTATTGTACCTCAATTTATATGCGGCAGATGCAGGAATAGCCTCCATCTGTATTAGTCTTTGAATAATACACGTAAAATTTTTTACCGTGCTGTGCTGTCAGCCCTGCAGAGAAATTAACGATGAATAGGCAGTGGCGTGCTTAATGGATGACATTGGAAATTTAAAAGATTTGATCTTCGTTACCGATCACTAGATTGGAAAATTTCACTGAATAGTACTGTCTGATCACTTGCTTCACGCCGCAAGCCTGAAGGGACAACGACATCTGTCATGTAGAGATTAAACCAAGAGTAGAATAAAGTTAAACCAAGACGTTTTTATATAATGATGAACCTAAGCTGTGTGAAATTTTGCGATACCCTGGAATAAACGAGACTTACAAATATGGCAAGCATCCAGTGGTCGAGCAAATGTAATGCAATATACTTAACAGCCACGTTGTTTGATCCACCGCATAATGATCGAAAAAGTCAAGTGTATGTTTACCGCAGCAACGCATCTTAGCGACATGTTTATCATTCGTGTCCAAGTCTCACTCTTCTCTTTGGGCCATGGGAACAGTTGTTTCGTTTAGCCTTTCGAGTATAAGCGCGTGATTATAATACTACATGAGAGATTCAGACGGCATGCTCTTGGCGTGGTAAGACGTCCATGTCGTGAGCGTGAATTTGATAGCTCAATTATTGTAGCATATTTGAATCCATCTATCGAACCTATCTGATTGATGCCGTAAAATTGTTGATGGGCGTAGTTTACAAAATAACGGAGACGTTTACTAGTGTTGTGTAATCATGGATAAGAAACTGTCATGGCCTATGAAGAAGTAGAGATTTTAAAAAGTAGCTTTACCGTTTGTATACTGTTGTATGTCAGAATACGAAGTTGGCTATGAGAACAGGTGATCTACCAGTAAGTACCTCATGCGAAATATGGAATGTATTTGCTGTTGATTATAAGAAGCAACAAGATATAGATATTTGCAAGAATGAAGACATTTCTCATTGTGCAGAAAATTAAGTTAGTTATTGGATCAGAGGGATCCTGTTTCATTGAAGTTCCGCCTAGCTAGACGATCCTCAGAGTGTAATGGCCCAGAATTTCAGCCATTAAATGATATTGGCATTGTAGGGCTGGCAGTGATAATCGGGACTGGAGGCAGCATTATCCCTCGTCGAGCAAGATTTCATTCATAAATTAGCCTTATTAATAACGGTCATGAGTTTCTGGAATTCAGCTGAACAGCCTAGTAAATTTTCTCACACTTCAATATAAGATAAGTGGCAAAAGGGTTGATCTGAAATGTATACATCTAATTTGCTGGGCAAATTTTGGAGAAGCTGATGTGTACCGTTGCTGAGTTGATGCTCTGCAATCTACACATGCCGAAGTCTTTTGGACCCCGAGCAACAGCGCCTTCGAACGACAGCATCTGCATAGCTAACTGTTACACCAGGTCGGAGAAACTGACTTCTAAGAAGGCTGGCCATAGATTGATGCAAGATGATGCGGCTGTGGCTAGGCATAGTTCCCACGAGACAGTCTATGAATAAGGCAGACAACTCTGCTTTGACATGGAATCACTGACGTGACAGAAGGTGGAGTTCGGTAGAGGTAACTTAACGAGTTGTTCATCGTACGGTAAATTGAACGAAGTTGTTCTTCTTTATAGCATGGCTAAAGGTTTATTAAGAAGTACATTAAAATCTTGAGTGTCTTGTTTCTTTGTTTAATTTCCCACCCATCCACTGAACTATTTCATACTCTTCTACGCTTATTGTTTTGTCACTCTGCTTTTGTTCATGTCGGTTATACCAATTGTTTCAATAGGTTAAAAAACTTTTCGTTTCTATGGACCAGTTTCAAGTTGACGAACAGAAGGAGGCATCGTTGAATGACCTCATGAAGGGATTCTGCGCGGAACATACGACAAATCCGATGAGCAGGATCGCTTTGGTTACCTCTGGGGGGACACGTGTCCCCCTTGAGCGACATGTCGTGCGGTACATCGACAATTTTTCGGCAGGCAACCGAGGCGCCGCCTCCACCGAGCATCTGAATCACCACGGCTATGCAGTGATATTTCTCCATCGTCGCAACAGCGTCCTCCCGTACGCCCGGCACTTCACCAAAGGAAGCAGTATTTTGGATAACATAGTGTTGAAGGAAGACGAACGTGGAGCACATTTGGAGGTGAGTACGGAACAGTTTCCAGCCGCAGTAAACGTCTACCGTGAATATCAGCGAGTTCTGAGGGAGAAGCTGTTGTTGTCGATTTCTTTCGAAACCCTGAATGAGTATATGACCTACCTGATGATTATTTGCCGGCATCTGCAAAGTTTCGGATCAAGAGCGATGTTGTATTTAGCAGCGGCCGTGTCTGACTTTTATATACCTAGTGAGGAGCTGCCAATGCATAAGATCCAGTCCTCTGCCGGGCCACTGACCCTGAGTTTCAAGCTGGTGCCAAAGCTTTTGAAGTCCATCGCGCACGGCATTCTTCCCGACGCGTTCATTATCTCGTTTAAGCTCGAAACCGATGCCGATATCCTGATAAACCGATGTCAAGAAGCACTGCGCAACTACGGTCATCAGCTGGTAATCGGCAATGTGCTGC